ATATCAGGTGATTTTTTTTTACCCTGGAACATAAATCAAACTGGCTCTTTTGCAACACGCTGGGGTCTCATTTTATATGCAGCTTAAAGCTTCCTCACTAATGATTCCACCAAAGTTACATATTTTATGTATGAAAATAGAGACTGGAAACTGCAAGAAAACACTGATTCTGGTTTCCTGATGTTCACTGACCTGATTTTAAGTGACCGCCACATACTGGAAACCCACATTTATTAATTCACTATCATATTAGCAAAGAGAATCAAAGGGAAACTGAATTTTAAAAACTAGAACTCGGTAATTTGGGGCATTTTTCTCGATAAATCTCTCACGTAATAAGTCAATCAAAACAATCAAAATAATGCTTATTAATTTTCATTTACTGAGGGGCAATCATTCTCAAAACTGATTTACACTGACTCAATTACTTTTAACCCATGTGAGGCATTTCACAACCTAAGGTCCTTGGGCTTGTTTGTCTGTTATCAAAAAATTAAAAAAAAGCTGTTGATTAAAATTAAAAATGTAATCAAAGCTTTAAGAGATGCTTCGAAGAATCGTGCCTGAATCCCTGACGAATATCCGGGTGTCTACTACTGATGGTCCTGTGAAAGCCCTCAATAAAAAATTTTTTTATTTTTTTGCTTTGTTGTTTTATTTAAAAAAGGAAAACAAAAGAATTAACATTGGGTGAAAAGTTTCTCCTGAACATAGATCACACTTTCTCCCTGTCAATATGTTCTGGTCTCACTTTCTCTGCAACATCCATAAAACGTATTGCCAAATGATTCCATCAATATTTCTTCTTTCATGTATTATTTCCAAGTATTCACTGACGTTATTTCGGCTGATTGGAACTTAATAAAAATCTGAATTTATTTTTTACAGCTAGATCTAAATAATGTTTGGCATTTTATTTTCATAATAAGTCAATCAAAATATTGCTTAATAATTTTTCCCGTACGGAGGTGTAATCATTCTCAAAACGGATTAGCACCGATTGATTTCTCAACTACTTTCATTCCACATAAGACGTTTCACAACCTAAGTCCCTTGATCTTGTTTGATTTGTCTGTTTGAAAAATCTTTGATTCAAAACTAAGTAATCAAGCCTTTAAAATAGTTCAGGGGTGCTTCAAGGAACATGTTGTCTATTCTGCTATAGACCCTCCTTTGTCTTTGAAAGCTCCTAATTAAATCAAAAATAGAGTTCTTTTGAAAAGTAAAAAAAAAAAACTTTTCAAAAGTAAACAAAAGTGATAACATAAGGTGAATTTTTCTCATGACCATGGATCACACTTGTTTATTGTACATGTTTTAGTCTCATTTTATACTTAGATAACTTGGATAAAGATTCCTATCTAGTGAGCCCACTGATATTATTTATTTCATGTATTATTTCCAAGTATTCATTCACTCACCTTATTTCAAATGACCAGACATTACAAAAAGCCCAAATTCATTATTTCACTATCAAATTAGCAAAAAGAAACCAAAATGTGCAGCTATTTTTTTTAATTTTTTTTGTTCAATAAAAAATCTAAACCAAAAATAATACATATTAATTCTAATTTAATTCTGGTTTTCTTCACAAACTTTACAAATATATCCTCTATATCTGAATTATCACTATATCCTCATCCTAGTGAGTTACAGTGAACCATGTGCATCATCTGTTTTAAGCCTGCGCTTTACAATCACTAGATGATTCTGTATCATAGTGCTGATGCGGTTTAATGGTATGATTATAATAGAGTGCTCAACAATGCAAAAACCACTGAGCAGAATGACAAAATGTATCACTTTCAGCACCATACTAACAGCCCCATAGCACACTGTATAAGCAAGCAGGCCAACAGTGTGCCTTTTTTCAGCCTGAAGGTACAGGCAGATAATAAGCTGTGGTGGTTCAAACAGAACATATTTCAAGAGGGTTTTTTTAGGTAAAATAAGACATCTATGTCTGCGGGACTATTCTAGGAGATCATAGCAGCACCGAGTCTGTGAATGCTCTGAGATCTGACTGTCGTCTGCTATGTCTGCTATTAGCTTTCCCGTTTTCCGAGCACATATCTAATCAGAGCTCAAAGTAACTGTGGGCCTGTCTCATGGTGAAACTCTGTTAGGGTTCGATGTTATGTGAGGTGTGTTTCAAATATTAAGAGAGCTGGTAGTCTGGTGCAAAATGCAGAAAACTAGGGTTATCGTTTGAGGGAAGGAAAGGGTAGGAGGAAGGATGTGTTAACACATGGCCAGAGGTTTAGATGGCAGAGGAAGGCAAGCAAGGACCTAGTCTCATTGTTTTAAAATGGGAGATGTCATATAGCGCAGGAAAGGGCTTTTGAATTAGGTTAAGCTCAGCACACAAAGTGGGGCTGAAACCAGGAATGTGAATCATCATCACGTTATGAAACAGAGCACTGAAAGTCTATGCTTCTGTTATCATTGAAAATAATGTTTTATTATTACAGCACTAGGATTTGTTGTTATTTTTTACAGCTCAAGCCAGGAAAGCGACAGTTTATTTCTGCAGGAAGGCTGGCTGTCAACCTCGCTGAGCATAATAAACATCACCTTCTATCTACAAGGCTCTCTAACACAAACCTTTACTTTGCCATGCATAAATTAACTAAATAGAGAGCCGAATCCAAGAACCTGATTCTTTTTTTGCAGAATCACTTGTTAAAATGCTTCTGGGGAAATCAGTATTTTATTCTGCATGCCTACTAAATGGAATTAATTGCACAAGTGCTTAAGTTAGACTCTCTATTAACCCTTGACAATATAAATAGAGACTTTAGTAAGCAAGCATGCTAACACTTATTACAAAACTGATTATATGCCTGCTTGTCTTAATAATCCCATGTGTATTTGTGTGTCTTGTTGTCTGTCTGCAACAGATTATATTCTCTGCCAAGTTGTGTTTTCATTTCTCGAGGTTTCCATGTGAGCAGAAGATGCTTAACATACGATCCCTTATTTAAATTACAGGCTGCTTCCATTGCAGGGTGAGACACTGTTATTGGAGCCTTCCAAATCTAAATCAAATATTGTGTTACGGTAACAGTGCCAAACAAAGAAAGTGAGGCCCTGGTCATTCAAGCAGAACAAACCAAATTAGCACAACCCTCCTAATTCGTTCCATGTTTTCCCCAGCAAGGAGCTTAGTATGTCTTGTGCATCTAAACAGAAAGGAATCTGTGACCTAATTAAAAGAAGACAGATAGACCCACAGTCAGCAGAATGCTTGATTGCTGCGGTTGCACATTAAACAGCTTCAGGTGCTTCACAACATCAGTGCTGCGTGAGTGCCATTACTGAACGTGACCTAAGATGCTCTTTGACACATCTCGCATTCACAGTGTGATGTGGCTCTCTCTCCAGAGAGGCAGACTGAGACCGTCAGAAAAGTAAACCAAAAACATCCCCCGCAGCAGGTGTGATTTTGGACAGGTAAACACTACTGAGTCCCCATCTTTCTTCACTGTTTTACAACTAATCTGAAAACAAACAACGAAAGCTTAGCAGACACCGACAATAAACTGCAATATTTGAAGAGAAAGCTATATTCTTACAACAGTTTGATGAATATTTACTGTAAAACAAATAATCGTTTTAGTCTGTAAAAGCAAAGAACTATGGTAACACTTTGATATAAGCAGAAATATTAATGATATCCACAACATTCACAGTCCTTGAGCGTCCTGGAGACAGAGCTGTCCTTTAACAGATAGAATGGCAAAAATGTCTTCACTGTAGACAGATGCACATCATCCAACGCTGACTATTGCTCACCTGCTTGGTGGATTCTGTTGAGACACCTATCTCAGCTGCAGCACTGACTCAACACAACGTCAACCAGCAACCAACATTTTATCCACCCTTTGTTTAAACACTGAGATCCACACAAAGAGTTTACACTGAATCTCTTTGCTAATGGCCATTTGGGTGCTGAAAGTCAAAAGGGCGAGCCTACAGCTACCCAAGCAGACACAGAACGCAAATGACTATTAAGGCTGTTTTAACTGTCAGACACCTGCAAGTATTTGGGAGGCAGACAACTTACAATGAACCATGTTGTTTATTATCAGTGTGGCTTTTTTTCTTTTCTTTTAAGGTTTAGGCTATGTTACTACTTCATTTTTCTTAGGGAGAGTACACGTCTGCGGTCACACGAATCTGACACAAGTTCATATTTATATATATTTTTTAAATTTATTTTTTCAGCGTGAGGTCAACATCGATGGATTCTGCCGCCTTCACAGTTTCACATCAAGGTCATCTGCAACCCCGGACGCCTCTTCTGTAAATAAGAGCCAAAGCTTTCACTCATATATCCGCATGATTGACGTATCCTGAGGTGCACTGGCCTGCTGGATATTCCTTCTCTTACAAAGCCGTTGGATTTACTCTGGATTCCAGACTGCGGTTGATCAAACCAGCACAGCCCCCAAATAAGCTCTAGCTGTACTCAAATGACAACCACATAAAACAGGAGAGGAAATACTGATGAGGTGAACACTTGGTCTGTCTGTCATCTATCATGCCAGAGCATGTGATTTGTCATTACGCCCTGCAGTGAGGCAGGTACTTGCGGCTACAGAATAATAATTATGTGTACACCCTGGCCGAGAAGATGTCATGGGATAATGTGATTGCATTGATTATATTCCGGAGCGGTTATGGGTATCACTGCTTATTACTTCGCCTTAGCGACGTCTCACATCCTAGCGACGCCCATGCAGCCACTAGCCTCTGGACCATCATCTGTACAAATGCTGGCACTATATTACATTTTACCCAATCGTCCATTAAGGCCAGTTTCCGCTCCCCGTAAGTACAATAATGGCAGGCCACATTCCCATGGGCACCAGTAACATCCAAAGTCAGCGCTTTCGGAGCAATTCAGTGACACGGTTTGACATAAAGCCAAGACGTTTACCAGTAATGTCTGGAAAAAATTCCCATCATTTGTGTCGGTACACAGAGCGGGCTCTTACCTTATCGCCAGTCGCAGCAGTATAGGCGCATGTATAGCTTACACATCCAGCGCAGAGAAGAGTCGGGAATAACCTTTCTCCTTCTTCTCCTTCTTTGCTCTATACAGTCACCAGAACGCAATTCTTGTGTACAAACGTATCTTCCTAGTCGATAAATTTCAGTGGTTGGTTTGTGCCTCGACTCCGGCTCTAGTTAATTCTCGCGGCTGCAGAACGACATTGGCAAGTGTTCCTGAAAGAGGGTATCGAAATAAAGAAGCCGAGGGTGTAACAAACCAATAGCTGCGTGCTTAGTATCCCGATCAGAGCTCGCACAGTAGGAGGTATCACGTCCGTCAGTCCGTCCAAACGCACTGAGTCCAGCGGAGCGCCGGAGGAGGACAGAGGCGTATCTCTGTCTCTCCCTCTCTCTATCCGTCTGTCTGTATCCCTTCCTCCCTCCCTCCCTCTCTCTTTTTATCTTTCTCGGCTGCCTTTATGTTCTTAGTGACTTCTGCTGAAGTCCACGGGCGCAGAGCGCAGTGGAGCAGAGGACCGTGGTCGGCGCAGAGAGAGAGAGGGGTCAGAAATGACAAACCAATTTGGAGGCGCGGTGAATGCTCGGCTGATCAGAGCGCAGCCCGGCGCGAGGAGCGTTGCGTTGCAGGCGGGCGGGGAGCAGGGTGGATGGAGGGCTGGGGAGAGGGTGATGATTCTTGCCTTGGGGATGCAGGGAGAGAAATGGGGAGACGAGAACTAGGGTGTGCAGTGGAAAACAAGGAACTGGATCTGGCTCCTAAATCTCTGGACCTAGAGCTCCATCTGCCGTGTGAGAACACGTAAGCGTTCCCACAAATTCCACATTGTTAGCTAATCAAGAGGGACAAGGGGGGAAACCACAGGGCTGGTTTCGGTTAATCGCACCATGGAACCCATTAAATGATTTTGCTACGGTGACCTGCAGAAGTTATCCATATGCCTACAGAAAGTCAGACTATGAGTTGAGGGGCTGTTTTACAGATCAATCCGAACGGGTTTTCCCTGTAGCGGAAAACCTGACATTTTTTGGCACAGCAAAAACTTATTAAAACGTATTAAACTCCAAATAAATTTGTAAATTTATTTAATTTTTAAAAACATTTCTTAATTGAATCAAATATAGTTAATGTCCACGGCCTACTTCACCACAAGGCGTATAGGCCCACATAAACGTAAACTGGTTTACAACAACGTCAACCATCATTTTCTCAAAAGGGTTTACTCTAAAAAGCATGCGCCCTACTGAAATGTGCTGAAAGCAACAACAGAAGATTCTTTGCAAAAGGAAAAGTAGTAGCATAATAATGTAAATCCATCAATAAATTAAGGTAACATTAAATTAAAATAACGCATTATCGTAACTTTTCTATATGAATGAAAAGCGCGACAGAACAGCTACGAGATGAAAGCGTGGTTAAAGTATTAAAGTAGATACTAGGTTTGGGGGAAAGCCTGTGGTTTGATTCTTCTAACAAATGTACTGTATGTAACATCATGATGTTATTAATAAGCGTGTGATAACGATTTCAAGTTCCCCATAAACAGTTTCACGTAGCCTACAGGGACAGCAAACAGATACTGAGGGTCTTGATATGATGATAGGAAGTCAAAAGGAGGAAAACGCCGTTTCCGGTCATTTTTGGCGAGATCTCCAATTGGATCTGTTAAAAATTGAAATAATGTAAAGGCTTTTTAAAAACAGCCTCACATACATCCAAAAATGTAACTGAGGCCACACACCGCTTTGTTTCTGCGATGCCAAAAAAGTTGGAAACTACAGTGTTGTATTTGAAAATCCTGTTATGTCATATAATGTCAATCATGACTTTATAATTAAACAAAAAATTAAAACGTGTTAGCTTGTGTAAAATCTTCATCTTAGAGGTAACTATAGGCTAAATCTGTCAAAGAAAGTCTAATAAAGCTAATAGCGTAGAAAGTAGCAGAAACCATAAATACTCACATTTATACTGAGTGGCTAACTTAATTACTTCCCACCTGTGGCTACGGGATTACTGATGGCTAGCTCTTTATCAGTAGGGATGAGCCCTCTGCGCCTGAAGATCAGAGGGTGTGACATGCGCACTGCACGGAGCGCTCACAAGCTGCGGACACAATGCAGGAAAATAAAGCCCAGAGCTCGCTTCTTGACATTTCCCCGTCTCTCAATAAGCTGTTATGACTTATTCCATTAGGACAGACTAATTTTTTTCTACTCGACAAAGGCAAATCTGTCCCGTGTACTCTCGAAAGTGGTGTGTGTGCTGTGCTTGGAGCTCAGTGGGGACCTGTTGATCGTCCACAGGCGCTGCAATGGAGGTGAGATGAACCTTTCTGCACATGGCGTTTCAGTGCTATGGATAAGAAATTTAAAAATAAATAAATAAATAGAAATTACCAGTGTGCTCGATTAAACATCAGGTGAACTGCTAATGGGGACGTGTAATTCTACTGTAAACCATTAATCTCTAATATATTTTAGTAATATTTGGAAGCTGTCAGCATTGCTTTAATATCAGCAGGGACAAGCTAAAGATTTAATTACCCTGCCGTGAAGGGTATGTATTACTGCGCATACCCCTCTTGCCTATCAATGGCTTCTAATTAGATTTAAGATGAGTCGTTGTCATTTCTAGTCGATCGTTTTGCAAATCAAATCATGCCACTGGCATCATGCTTCGAAGCCATACAGACTGCCCCCCTCCTCCCCTCCTCAAGTCAGAATGATGGAGGCTATGTGTCGCTGTTAATTAGCATCATTGGTTGATAAAGCCTTTTGGAAAAGATTTAAATCCCGCTAAAGAGCATTAGGTGACAAGCAAGGCGCTTGCAAGCAAGCATGGCACGGGCCTACAAGACATAGGGTAAAAACGATACATGCTGCTAAACAGGTGTAAAAAGACACAATGAAGTAATATTACATTGTTACAGGATTCATAATTCTCTAAACTTTATTAAAATCATCTTATGTTTTCATCCCTTTCAGTTTCATTAAAAATGTGAAAAGGAACACATTAAAAAAATCTGCACAATCACCTTTGTTTTTATTCATCTTGCAGTTGTCAAACAGACAAGTATGACATTTAACTGAGGGAAGAAGCGGGAGGAAATCTTCACTCATACCGATCTGTGAGGCAACGATGGAAATCATAGGTAAGTGAATTCAAACAGCTGAAAATGTAGAGCACTCTCAGTTACCGCTGTCAGACTGCACACCACTGCCGTCATTAAGCTCTTACAATTAAGGTGTCAGGCATGTCTGCCTCAGCCAGACAGTAAGGGAACAGTTACACGTGCAGGTGGCGAAAGAACTCACAATCTGGTCAGTAGTCAAAACTTTGCGGTGAAGAGTTACGGGGTTTTAACCTTCTGCCAAGTACAATTACTGCAGTTGTGGCTTGTGGTCATCAGCTGCTACTCAGCTAAATAAACAAGGGCAGTATGACCTGATGAAACGCTTCATCGTTCGCTCTGCGGTGAAGTCGAACGCCTCCTTTAGTATGATGAAGTATAGGTTTTTGTTGTTTGTGTGTGCGTGTGTAACCACTTTAATTCAGTTTCTGCCTCCATATCAAGCCACAGATTTTAAATCAAAATAACTCACACAGGCAGCCTTGGTTCATAGATTTTTCTTTTCAGACAAGCACTCAAACCTCGAAAGCACAGTTGTTTTTATTGTTTACTCTTTTGCTTTCCCACCGGTACTAGTAAGTGTTGACATTTAATAGCTTAATATCAAATACCTGGCTTTGTGTCACGGTCTCAGCAGCTGCCACAGCATGCGAAAACTAATGCAAAGCCAAATGGGATAAATCCTGTTTCTGAATGACACAAATAATCTACAATTTCTTCGCAGATACCCAGTGTGCCTTGGCGGCGGTGGAGAGACTGCAAGCCAAATTGAAGGAAAGAGGAGAGGCCCCCACTCAGGAGAAGCTGTCCCTGCTGAAGACTGTCCTGCAGAGCCCACTGTTCCTTCATATACTGACCTTACAGCAAGCTCAACAGAAGCCTGCGGCGAAGGTATAGCGAAAAGCCAGAATGTGTGGGCGTTTGGTACATTTGAATGGTGAGGAAGGAGCCCGGAATCATTCCCAAAATACTGAATGCAGGAACCAGACTGGATGAGTAATCAGCTTACCTAAGCTTACCACTAAAGCCCTGAGAAAGAGGGAGAGAGGGGAGGAGGAGGGAAGAAGTGGATATATCAGGTTGAAGAGTTTACAGAAGTCGTCTGTAACATTGTCATAAGTTTTGAGCTGATGTGTGTGTCTGTTTGTGTGTGTGTGTGTTTGAGTTCTGAGGTATACAGCTCTGGATGCCACTCATCCAAGAGTTTTTATGCGTACAATCCTGCACTTCCACGGTGCATGTATCTGCGTACTCATTTGGTGTCTACCAGTTGTGACATCCTCTAATAGGCAAAGTTTAAACACACAGGGAATATTAGATTACCATGTGGTTTGGGCTTGTAGCGTTCTGGCATCTTTGCATTCTGGGAAGTGCGGCACTGGAGTGTGTCAAAGATCTCTAGATATTTTTAACAGGACAGACGCTGACATGGTTTTTATTAGTTGAGATTCTTTACACATTTCTTTTTTTATGCATAGCATTTGGAATGTGAGGGTAAAGTTTCCTGTTGGTATGGTTTTTTTTATAGCGTTCTCTCTTTAACGCTCTTTCTGCCATTTCAACAGGTGTCAAAATTGTTAGGATAGAATACAAATCACAAATAGGCACCCACTGAAACTTGCTTTTAAACTCTGAAACTGAAAACGTTGCAGACAAAAGAGAACACTTTTGTGGTTATGTGGTATTGAAAAGAAGCCTTTATCTCAGATCCTTAAGTTTCCACTCTGCAATCTTTTCCCTCTCTGCTCCATTTTACATCTTTCTGTATTTTTTCCCTTTCAGTTAACACACATTAACCCCACCCCCACCCAACCCATTCTTCTCTCTCCCCTCTTCTCCTTCTCACATCTTTCTCCATTGTCTCACATTGGCCTCCTTTCTCAATTGCTCTATGCTTTTTGATTTGCCTCCATCGCTCTCTTACCATCATCCTGTTCCTCTCTGACTGCACGTCTCCATTCTTCAATTTGTGTCAACCCCGTCACCCATCTTCCTGTCACCCATCTTTTTTTCCTTCTTTCCCTTGTATCCTTCTCTTATATATCCTCTCTCCATGCACTCCACCCAATCCATCTCTTCTGTTGCTTCATGCATTCAATTTAAACTCTTCCTTCCTGTTGTGTAAATCTAAACAGGGGAAGGGCATTTCCAAGTCCGTGTCCATGAACTGTGGCCCATGCCAGGGTGAAGCACTGGGCACAAAGACGCTGAGCCACAGCGACTCGTACACATGGGCCGTGGAGAACAGAAGGCCCAGCTCTGCCAGGGACGGCAGCATCTCCTCTCATGGCTCACAGGAGCTGTCCTTCTCAGACATCTACCCAGATAACTATGTTCCAACTGAATCTCAGGTATATAAAAATAGCCACGATAAAAGAGAGGTCATTCAGGAGTAGTTTAGTATTAGGGAGTCTTTTATTTTCAACATGCACAGACTACGAATCAATCAAATGATTTCTTTTATTCTGTTGTAAAAAGGAGCACATTACTATTTGAAATGTCACATTTCACATTACAGAATATCTCTTTGCATTTTGTAAGTCAGGCCCAGTTGGCAATCATCAAA